GCTCTAAAACACAAAAGACACATAGTTAAACTCAAAAGTAAGCAATTGCGCAGTCAGACACTTAGAAGAATCAAGGGACAATATTAATAAAGGATAAAGTTAAAAAATGGAGTTATATCTAGATTAGGTAGCTAAGATGAAATTAAGTTAAAGTAGTTAGCAAAGAGGCGTTATAGATATTTCACAAAAAAGAGATTGAGATAATTAATTTTGTTTGTAGATCCGTTATCTAATCTACATTACATATAGCTTTTATTCTAAAGGCCAATATTTATAAAACAAACAATTTATTTAATCAGCTTCATTTTTGTAACAGTAACTAGAATTCGGTTGAAATAACAAAAAAATGTAGAAACATATATGAACAATCAAGCTTCTCTTAAAATGAATGCTCAGGCTAAGCTGAATGATAAGTGTCAGCCATTCAAGCTTACATGGCAAAACAGATATGGACTGCAAGAAAAGTATCGAAACCAAAGGTCTAATGGTGTGAGTAAACTCCAAATCATATAATTACATATATGGTAAAATGCCTTCGCAACTGCATAGAGGATAAATTCAATCAGAATAGTAGGAGCCTGAACCGACGAATTCTATAACTCAGAAGCTTTTTAATTGTGTCAAAATCTTAGAGGTCGCTCCAGCCATATAGAACACCATCCTTCATGATATTCGGAGATGATAAAGAAATAGCTAGGAAGCAGGTACAAATAGATATAAAATAAACGTCAGCCTGACTTGGATACACCATTATCAGGATGCTAGTCAAAATTATATTGTTGATTTGCTCACAAATGAACGGATAGAGTGGGTGAATAAGATATGGCCCTAGATAAACAATGGTGACTATTCCTAAAATCGGAAGCGGAAGAAATCCAGCTCACGTTAAAAGTGTCGTCAGATGTTTCTGAGATGCGAACGACCTCGATAAGGCGCATCACTGGCACCGGATTAAAGAAATGAAGGCCGCCAAATCTATCCTTGCGCGATAACGACTGTGCAACCTCCGAAAGAGACAGTGATGAGGTATTTGTAGCAAAGATACAAGCCGAAGAGGCAGTTTCGTCCAGGATTCTGAAATATAAATAGGACGGAAAGATAAACGAATTAAGAGTTGGTGACATCTATGACAAACAATAAAGAATATAATCTCATGAAACGGGAACATTTTTGATGTCGCCATGAAAAAGTGTATAGATAATAAAGGAAGGTTGTCTGATAGAGGATGATCGCCATACAGGACATTAAATCATCAATTCAAATAGATCCATAATGAAGTGGATGTTCTCATCCAGTATGTAGAGAATTTCATAAAATATTTAATTTTCACCTGATACACGCCATGGATTCTATTCTTTCGACCATTTTGAATTTAACTGATAGAAGAGAAGTTCAAAATTTTGCTTAAGGTACTAGGGGGATCACCTTGAAGTTCTCCGCTATGGAAGTTATTTAGGTCTCATTATTCGCCAATATTTCAATTAGTATTGTTCATCCGCTACGCATGAAATGTTTTCCAGTATTTAAGATTGTTCAAACATAATAATGGTGTGCCCCAGTACGATATTAACGCCCATATTTTACGGGATAGAATTTACGGCCAACCAAGAATTATTACACGAGGTCGTACTATATTAGGAACAGCTTAGAAGCTACGTCTAACGACAAACATAGTTGCCCTGTTGGCAAGTGTCTAGGGCTTCTTATGCTGCAATTCTAAACTAGGCACTACATACACTAGAATTGTAGATATAACATGAATTCTGGTGATAAAAAAATAAAGGAGTTGAAATAAAGTCTGTCATATTCACATCTGGTAGAAAACTTTGTAACATGCATGGGTTTGTGCTTCAAAATCACAAAAATCTAGCAAAAATGCGAATAGCTCAAGAATATAAAAGTAATCTTGTGCTTGTCCGATACTAAGAAATCATTGTAAAATTAATAATGGCGTCCAGAAGGATTTTTATGGACAATTTGAAGTAGGAGAGTGAACTTGGAAAAATCACAGGACACATATAAACGATATCTAGGTTTACGAGGTAAAGCAGATATGAAGATCAAATAAGCAAATATAATCAAACATGGGATAACGCGATAAAGATTAGCTTTAAGGACATTTAATTCAAAATAAATTATAGATGAGTATTAATACAAATTTAAATACAAATTTCTAAGAAATAAAATGAAACCCGAAGCAACTATTTACTTGAAC